ATACTAAAGTATAAACATTAAAGTTACACTATTATAGTAATAAAAAAGGTGAAAAAAGTTCAGTGAAAAAAGCTACGTATATCCACTTCTATTAGGTTCTCTGATAATTCTTTTTCCACAATTAAGTTTATTTGGTTTATATATTTGTGAATACACTCCCCATTTTCACTGAATATCATGTATCTTCGTAGTACTTTCAGGGCTTGACGTACATCACCCGATTGAGGGCAAGTTGGTTAGATCAAAAAATCTAGATCACTATCTTCATCTTTTTCAGCCTCAAAATTTTCTTCTCCTAAAACGTCTGATATAATCTCCTCATCATTCATTATCGGCAGTGTTGACAAATTATCCATGGAAACGACATCTTTTGCTGTTGTTCCTTCAGGGAAGAACTCGGATGAATGAACAGCAAGCTTTTCTAATTAGTCTTTGAGATCCTCAAAGGAATCATCCACATCTACCGAGGCGTCAAAACACATTTTCTCTGAAACTCCAGCTTTAGCAAAACAATTGCAAATAGTTTCGGTCTTCACCTTCCCCCAAGCAACATAAAGCATTTGCACGGCATCCATTATAGTAAATTCCGGAAGAGGCTTTTTTTTTCTATTGCATTTATAAATTTTTGAACAGATAGTGTTCTATAATGGGCTTTAAGTGACCTAATCACGCCCTGGTCCATCGGCTGTAGCTTCGAGGTAGTGTTTGGTGGTAAAAAAATTAGTTCTATTGATTTGAGATTATCAATGATTGGATGAGCTGGACAATTATCAACTAATAAAACAATTTTTAGTCCTTCCTTTGTAAATTGCCGATCAATTTTTAGTCCTTCCTTTGTAAATTGCCGATCAATTTCACGAACCCATTCCTCGAATAGTGTGCCATCCATCCAACTTTTCTTCTGACTGCGATAACGGCAGGGTAAATGCTTTACATTTTTAAAGCATCTGGGTGATTTAGCTTTGCCAATAACAAACATTGGCAATTTATTCCCTAATGCATTAGCAGATGCCAATCCTGTAAGACGTAGTTTGCTGTGTTTTCCACTGACACATTTTTCATTTTTAAAATGTAAAGATTTAATTGGTTGGAGCCGATAAAACAACCTAAATTCGTCAGCATTATAAATCTGGTTTAACTTATATTTTGATAAAATGGTTGGTAACGTGGTTTCCTCCCATGGTGCTACCATTTCACTTGTACACGCATTAGCTTCGCCAGAAACCGTTTTAAATGATATGTTGTATCGTTTTGGGTTGTTTCCTTTCTCCACAGCATCAAAAATCTTTTCCTTGTTTCTCAACCAGGTAGATAAGGTGTTCTTTGGTATATTATATTTTAAAGCAACCTTTGACTTTGAGATGCCATCTAATACTTCCTTCAGTGCGTTGTATTTGACTTTAACAGTTTTTGTATTCAACTTTCGCTTAGTTGCAATTGTCGCTATGTTACAAACTTTTTGTTTAAAAAGAAAATATTCACGCTGTACACTTAAAAGATAATATTCAACAAAATTCTCTATGGTTGAAAATTTTGTAAATTGAAAACAAACACGGGCCAAGCTCAAGCGATATGCAAAAAGACTAAGGCAAGATAAATTAGGAGGGATATCATATGATACCAGGCGATGGATAGCAGGCATTCCAACGCAATATTTCTGATAGATGTTATTGTCACTTAAGACCATTTTGTAAACGAAACACCAAACAGTTTGAGTGAGGGTTGGGTTACTTACTGCATGTAGTAAGTATTAGCAAACCCTTTGGTTTTTTTAAGGAGAAATTAATCAATCAAATGAGTTTTTTTGTCGTTGACATGTATATTAGCAAATTAAGAGCATCTTAATTTGTTTGTAATCTAAAATGCATGTCGTTTACATGCACTTTAGCAAATTAATCTCTAGCAAATTATTCACTTCTTCTAGTAAATTATCAATGTCTGCCATAATGTTATTGTGAAGTGTCATTAGCGGACAAGTTTAAGAGACTTCTGGATTGTTCAAGGACCGACATACTGTTTACTACCGTGGCAAAGAGAAAAGATCCAAGCACCGACCCTTGTGGTACTCCACTAGTGATATTGGACACAGGAAATAACAACCTTTAGAGAAAAGTGACATAAATACAACTTAATCCAGTTTTGCTTTAAAATATAGAAGACTAAATACAAAGAAAGCTTAAAAAAGTGACCCTAACAATAAGAAATAGTGTTGTGAAAGCAGCTGCCAAGATAGAAAGGAAGAAATAAGCTCAAGATTTTAACTCAGTGTTGATCGCAGAGGGAGAGAAGTATATTCCTGAGTAGTTAAACATTTATGGTGTTACTGATTTCTTCCAGTCAGAAGTGTCTGAGCCGATGTATTATTCAAGTTTCAAGACTAGTTTCATTACAACAATAGCTCTTGGAGTCGCCATTAACATTGCTCAATCTATTGGATGTAAGCTTGTTCAACATTTCTTACGAAACAAGTTTTCAATTAACCCAGATAAACTGTACAGTTTAAATAATCAGCTATTAAAGAGATGAGCAGGAATGAAACTACGAACCACAAAAAAATAAGTAATGGATTCTAGGGAATGGTTAGCTGAAAATGTTGACCACAATACTGAAACATTAACTTGGAAAATTACATTTTATAGGATGGGAATAATCACCATAGAAAAAAAGCAGGCTGGATTGTTGGGTAAAGTTTCAAGATTGCGTCAACTTTTACCAACAGTAGGCTTCGCAAACAGCCGTGGTAATTGTGTCGTAAATTTTCACAGATTTTTTTATTATCATTACAAAATGATGTTTTGAAAACCTTGAGTTATTGAAAAACTATAAGTTATTAAAATAAAGTTAAATTAAAGTAGAAAAATTTGTAATTAAAATTAAAATGTAAAACTCATAAATTTGTCATCTGGTCAACGGAAGCATAAAATACATTCTCTGTTTCCAATTCAATAAAAAACTACCAACTACTAAAATCTTCCTAAAAATGTTATAACCAAAAGACACCATCCATTAATAATAACCAAAGGTGCAGTAATTTTTCAAGCAATAAAAATAAACTTATGCGTATAATATTACGTTGACAATATTTATAAAAACCAATTGGTGTTTTAAAATACAAGATATAAATACAGTTTTAAACTTGCCATTAAATACGTCACGCTTTGGGAAGGAGGGGGGGAGAGGTTTGTGCTTTGTGACAAATCCTACGGGACTTATAACTAAAGAGTTACAAAGTTGTGACAAGGAATGGAGGGAGCAAGGGAGGGTGTCAAAAACTGTAAAATGTATTTTTTTTAATTAAATAAAAAATTAAATAAATAGAGATGTAGATGACACTACGTCAGCTCAATCTTTTTATAGAGCCCGCATATAAAGTTTTGACAAAATGTAGTAATTATTAAAAAAAAGTTAAGTATAAATGTACTGCGCTGATATGCAAATCAAATAAAGACAAAAAAAGATACCTGAAAGATTAACTGAAAGAACAACTAAAGCCATCCCTTTAAACCCTTTTTAATAGGTATTACATATTTTTGGGCCTCGATATCCAATGCTATATTCCGTATATTTAATAGGTTTTTGAGTTTATATTTGCTACTTATATTTGCTCTAAGATAAAAGCTTTTATTAATATTTATTTCAAACTTTTTATTAAAGTTTATGTGCATAGCTGGTAAGAATAACACAAATAAAAATAGAACAGATAAGAAAGTTTCAGTTCAAAACAATTTCCGATTCAGTTCAAAGCAATTTCCAAACTGGTCTCGGTTTTTACAATGCACAATAACGCATTTTTCGCAAAAAGGATACCAATCGACAGTTTCAATTCTCCTGATAAAAGATTTCGATCCCTCCAATGAATCATTTATTCGACATTAGCTTTTCATTATCTCACAAGAAAAGAAAACGATCAACCGTTTTTGTTTGAAGAAAAGACATTCATGCAGATAATTTTCCTATTGTTTGCAGGCTCGGTGGCTTTCATACATTTATGAGTTTTCTAGGAAGCATTGGTACGCTCATGAAAGGAATAGGTCTTGAGGATCTCTTCGCCAAGGCATATGTAGAAAACTGTGTCACTAAAATGATATCAGAAAAAGCTATTAAAAAGAGTTACAAGAGTCAGCATTAATGTCATTACTAATGAAAGAAATCAAAGAAAAAAACGAAGAAGAGTTTTGCAGCAATTTTATGAACTCGTTTACTTTGGAAACAACTTTGGAAACTTGATAAGAAGATGCTTAACTAATGTTACGAATGTGAATGTAACGAATGCTTAACATGTGAAAGTATGAAAAAGTTGTAAATTAATTTGTTAAATGACTAGCAACCATTTTGAGCGCTCAGAGAAAAAGATGTTAAGTCTATGTTTGAAAATAAAGTATTTTGACTACTTTGCGGATGGGTAATTTTGAAACAGAGCCCGTAAATGTGATTTTTTTTACGTGATCTGTATACCTTTGAAAATCAATCGTGGAAGTTTCAGTTTTATAAAAAATTTTCCCGAAAATAATCTAAATTGATTGGACTATTTTTTTTTTTTTTCTATTTCTGACGATTTTGGATTAGAGTTGTGAGCAGAGTTATAGTGAGATTAAAATTAATATTGCTTTTTAGATTAGCCTTTCAACAACAACAATAACGCCAGGTAACTCTGTTAGTAGAATATAAAAAAACGACCTCTTATAACAATACCATATACGCACGATATAAACAATAACAACGTGTTATATAAAATAATTGACTTAATAAAAAAACTTTATTCAGCTTGAATTTCAAATTAACGTAGGAGCGTTTTATTTGAAAAGGATTAAGAAACTAACATTATGTAATAACAAACCAATCAAAACAAAAACTGTTTGAGTAGTTTTGAAAGCCAATAAAAAATTTATGCATTTTTAAATCAAGCATAATGACTTCATATCTGACCAATCATTTTCTCTATTTTTCTAGTTACCGCGGGAACATTACAATTTAAGAAAGTTAAAAAAGCACGACGTAATCAGAATTTTATTAACTTCGCGAAGTACGCACTAGAAATTAAAGGAATAAATATTTCATTCTAAATACATATTAAATCGAATTAAAGTTTGCAATGTATCGCAAAAAGTTAAAAAAGGTAAAAACATGAAGAAATGATAAATGAAGATGTCTTAGCAACTAAAGATTTAGAAAACGATAAAAGCGATAAAGATTCGGGTCTAATTGACGATTATATTGACTTTCAATTAATTAGTGAAGCGTTCAATGTCTTACCAGATGAAAAAACACTTTCCATAGATTACGATCTTGAGTTAGACTTGAGCGATGAGAATTTCGGAAGTTACAACGATTTTATCGTTGATAATCACGAAGCTTCTAAAACATGCAAAGTAGATAGTAATAATAATACCAACAGTAATATTAACACTAAGAAAATTGGAGTTGAAGAAAATTTTGTTATAAGTGACACAAATAAGAACACATTGTTACCTGGAAAGTATAGAGAATTTACCAAAGAGCAAGCTCGTCAATGGAGAAGAAAAAGAATATTAAATACTTATAATCAAAATACTATAAAAAAAAAAGATCATAGTGTAAGGGTTTTGCCGAATAATAAACTTCAGCCATTGTTTAATGTTCCGTCCAAACCAACAGTTCAAGAAAAATTAAAAGATCCCTTACTAGCTGGAGAAAAGATAGGAGCAAATAGAGGTAACAAACGCACTATTTTTTAGTTTTAATTATTAGCATTAGCAGTTAAATGTTAGATTTTTGAGCCGTGTTAAAAGTTAAGTTTTTAAGTCAAGGCTAATGAAATAAACCTTTTTTTTCTAGGCCCTGTTCCTATGAAACACCGTGCTCTTCCCCAATCATTTTGGAAAGAACCTCAAGCACCGCAAAGTAGTTCTTTAGCTGGAAGTCATTACTCAGTATTGCCACCATTATTTGCATCTGACGAGTCTTCCAATATCCAAGATATGAGACCTGTGACTCCACCAGAAGAAACGAATCGCTCTCCAAGACATAAAAAAAAAGTTGTCGAAAGTGAAAAGGCGGATACAGCTCTCCTTTTTAGTTTGTTTGACCACTTAGAAAATAAAATAGACGAAAAACTAATAGTTAAAAGAGGAAGGTAAGCACAAATATAATGTATGTAAATATATGTGTGTGTATATATATATATATATATATATATATATATATATACATATATATATATATATATATATATATATATATATATATATATATATATATATATATATATATATGTTGCACACACACAAAGTAGATTGTGTCTGTCCAAACCAAAATCTTTATTTGATGTCTGTATTAAAGCCCCCACCGATTACTTTTTTAGTATATAGTCATCAGTGATATTTTATGTATAACTAATTACGCAAAGATATGTTTGTGTGCACACACACATATAAGATAAATTTATACATAAATATATTTATTTTGGTGTTTATATACATAAATACACCTATGTATGCAAATTTTTTTGTGCATTTAATGATAATTATAGCGATTCTAAAAATTAGTTATCGCTTTATAAAGCGATAACTAATTTTTAGAATCGCTAAAGACTTTAAAAAAAAATGCATCTTATAAAAATATTATTATAAATTCCATTTTTACTAGTGTCAATTTAAAAAATAAATATCTTATTACAAGTATTTCTTACTCATGTTAAGTAGAACTATTTTTTCACCATTTTTTGCAGTCGGTATTTTAACAAGTATCCAACTTAAACGCTTACACTTTAACCTTATAATATAGTATACCTGTCCTAAATATATTTTTGCATTGTTGTTTATACTTATTAACCTCTAATGGAATTTTCAGTTACGTATATTACGTGATTATTTTTAAAATTATGTTTATCTTTTTTAAGACCGAAGAAACAATCGACAGACCAGAAGCAAACAACAAAGCAAAAACCAAAATCAAATAACATTTCAAAAGATAATGACCCTTGTATTGTAGATGCTCTTGCGGATAAACTATTTCCTGAGCTTTCTTTACATCAAGCAAAAGAAAAAATAAACAATCTTGCTGCAATCATAAAAATAGGGAAGCAAACATCCACTATAGTTCAATTTCCAGCTGTAAATCATAATTATCCAGAAATACATCAAAACTATTCAGAAATGCTCAATGAGCTGATAGCTCACATGTAAAGGAAGTTATCTTGATAGTTTACAGCAAACCTCTGCTCAAATTTGATTTAAAGTTATGTAGTAAATCAGCTATACGATTACGATTATCTCGTCAATCAGCTAAACGATTACCAATACGATTTTGCAAAGAATTGGAGTAACCAGAAAAATAAAACACATTAAATGGTATTTAGGAAAAAAAAAATTGAATTATATAGATCTGCTAGTTAAAAAGAGAAACACTTATAAACGTTACAATGAATATAACTTAAAAGTTAATAAAACGCTAATATTTACATATACGAAGATAAATATTTATATAAAAACAGAGAGAAAATAATTTTTTTTACTATTTATATTTACAAAAATGACATAAAAAAAGAAAAGAAACTTAATTCTTTACATTCTTCATGAATAAGTCTACTACTATTTCAATTATTTATTCTAGCTTGCGACATTAATCTCAAGTGGCTTCAATACTTTTAAAAATAGTCTCGCCAACTGTTCCATCTGTATTTATCATATATCCGTTATAAAAATCTGTCGCAGATATTTCTTTTTTACACTCTACATGTAGATTTTTAACACCAATCCATCCATCCTGTATAAAAAAAAAAGGTTTAGAATTATAAAATTTTTGTCAAAAAAATTAAAAATTTGTAAAAAATAAATCTTTAGTACCGTAAAAACCCCAAATTCCGGATGTAACCTAATCCCGGATGGTTTTAATAAAAAGTTTCATAACTCCCTTAATATAATGAATTTATGAATAATTTTTTTTAATTAATAAACGTCTTTACAAGACAAATCAAAAAGTATAAAAAAAAAATTATATAAACTAATGCAATCATGAAAGATTTCAATTTGAAATCTCTCATAACTAAAAAAACAAAAAAAGGAAAAAAAAAAACTTTGACTTGCAACAAAAAAATTAAAAAAGTAAAATCACTATTTTGTGCAGAATTTTATGCTGATTATTTTAGCCAAAAAAAAAAAATTAAATTACCTTTTGAAATAATTGAAAAAAATAAAAAACAAATTTGCTACCAGCCAAAAAAAAAGACACCTAATTCCGGATAGAGGTAATTATTATTTTATGTACCTAGTAAAAATAATAAACAAATTAGCCAGCAGCAATAAACAAATACACTTTTGAGTCCCGAATACAGTTAATTACAATTGGCTATTTTATTTTTTATCACTTTCATGCACATAATATAATATATTATGTTCATTAAGGTGGTAGTATGGTCAAAAATTTCCAATTTTTTGATTTTTTTTTAATACAACTTCTTAACATTTTCATTCATGCTGAAAACGATAGTGTTATTTATTTTTTGATGTATTCTATATAAAACCGTCTATTTTTTATATAAAAAGTAGTACTATAGAATATTGCTCCTTAGCAACGGCATAGCAACAAGGTAAACACTATGTATATCATCTTATTGAACTCCCTGAAGCAAGTATTTTCTTTGAGAAATTTACTAAGTGAATTTGGCTTCTTTTTTTGCCGTAAAAACATTAAACCAGCACTTATATAAGCAGTTATCTTGTTGACTATCATTACATAAACACATGTTATCTATTTCAGTTGAATATATCTACAGTATGATTGTTTATTGTTGTTTTATAAACTATTCAGTGTAAAGAATAAAATGAGCCATTATCTTCTGATGTAAGACATGCTATGTGTCCTCAAACTAATTGCAAATATAAAGGATATAAATTTGATAAAACATATGTTAATAAAGAAAAACCTGGACTGCCTATTGTTATCAGGGACAACCAGTATTCATAGATTATCAGATAAAAGCTTGTTAAAAAAGTGCCTTCATGGAAAAACTCGAAACAATAATGAGGCCTTAAATGCAATAAATTGGAATCGAAGTCCAAAAATGTTTGTGTGGGGCAAATTGCTTTAGAGAAAGGTGCAGCATCAGCTGTTATTAAATTCAATGAAGGATTAACTGGTTTGTTAAATGTTTATTTAGAGCTTGGTATAAATCCTAACAAAAACTGTATTACATTTTGCAAACAAAGAGATTGTCAAATAGTTAAAAATATTGCTAAAAAAAAATTGACTGATGAGGTAAAGCAATGTCAGAAACAAATAAGGGCAAAATAAAAAGATTTTAGTGATCAATATGAAGAAAGTGAAGAAGTAGCTTAAAGCTCTGGCAGTTTTGAGTGGTTTTGTTATATTTCAATTGATATAACTACTTATTTTAAAAATTTGATTATCATAATTTATTTTTTTTTAGTTCGAAGTTTTTATATTTCTTTTAACAAGGATACTAACTTCTTTATTGTACTTAAAAAATTAGTTAAAACTCATTATAAACTTAGTTTATTAATATTGTTGTTAGTTAATACATTGAAGAGTGATTAGAAATCTTTAAGATTAGAATGAGAGCTTATTTTATATTTTAATGTTTTTTCCGATGTTAATTTTTTTAAATTGCTGTTTTCTCAAAACAACATTTTTTAGCACGGTGCGATAAATAACATGGGAACTACTTGTTATGGTTCTTTAAAATTTTGTTCAGTTGTAATAATATATATGATAAACTCATTGAAGCAGTATATTTTTTTGATATTATATTTTGACAGAGTTATGGAATTTTAAAGGGGGCTGTTTGGGGGTAAAATTTGACCCGTTAGTTGTATATGCTGTATCTCCTTGGTGCTTGAAGCTTACTTTATAATTCTGCTTCCATGAGTTCTTTAATATAATACAAGTAAACACTGAAAGTTTGAGTTTTATAGCATCTACCATTGTCTCAATATTTATCGCAGCACCTATTGACTGTTTTAGGTTTCACAACCCAAAACCTGGGTCCAAATGTGAAATTTTAATTTTTTTTTAAATTTTATGTTTTTATGCAGTCTTTTAATATTTTATGAAATCAATACTGTTTGGTTAAAAAAAATGATTTTAGTATTTTGACCATACTACCACCTTAAAGTAATAAAAAATAAAATAGCCACAAGGGAAAAATAATTGACACTAATCCAGATACAGCTATTTTTTTTTTAGCATCCATAAAGTTAACGCATTTGTGTTAATTGTATTACTGTATTAAATATTCTTGGTGCTTTGCCATTGGTTTAAAAAAGAGTTTTAAATTATTAATTTTAGATAAAATAATTTTGCTAATTCTCCCTACCTCATTCTTTGCTGGATTTAGAAGTCGAACAGTAGGGTTGTTAGCAAAGTTATCTTTATGGTCTTTCAATGAGATAAAACATCCAGATGATCCGTTAATTTTGATTTTATTATAAACGTCATGGTTACGCAAAATATCTTTCCCTTCTTTATTTATTTTATCTTTTAGGTTTGGGTCAGCTTTTTTGTAAGTGGTAGTAATAGCATTAGTTAAAAGGTGATTATAATCTTCTTTCGATAATTTATAGATATTTGATGTTTTATCAGCTCTTATAAAAGTTTTGTTAGACGTTTGTATGCTTTTTAAATCTTTTTTCATATTATCTTGAAAGATGTTTTTAACTTTTCGAAATTTTATCGTTTTGATTAGATATATTACGTCTTTTTCGAAAGAAGACATCTCTTTTATTTGAGGTGGACATTTTATAGAACTAATTCCGTAGTTTAAGTGATTATTATCTTCTTTAGACGTTGTATTGCTGTTGATAAAAAAGAAAGCTTTCCATCTCATTTTCTTCAAAAATGATTCGGTTTTCTCAATTAATTTTAATTTATATTCTTTTTCCGATGGTATTGGTATGTTCAATTATTTTTTCCCTTGTGGGAAATAAATCATAGGTAGTGCATGACACAGTATGACCAACAATCATAGGTAGTGCATGACACAGTATGACCAACAATCATAGGTAGTGCATGACACAGTATGGCAAGCATTCAATCAGAATTTGGATTAGTCTTTTTTAATTCAATTGCAATAATTGAAATAATCAATAAAAAAATTGAATTAAAAAAAACTAATCCAAATTCTGATTGAATGCTTGCCATACTGTGTCATGCACTACCTATGATTGTTGGTCATACTGTGTCATCCACTACCTATGATTGTTGGTCATACTGTGTCATGCACTACCTATGATTTATTTCCCACAAGGGAAAAAATAATTGACACTAATCCAGATACAGCTATTTTTTTTAGCATCCATAAAGTTAACGCATTTGTGTTAATTGTATTACTGTATTAAAGAATATGGAAAATTTTAAACAAAAAGAAGAGCAAGAGAGTCGAATCCAGCTAGCTATTCAAGCTATTACTGAAAAAAAAATGTCATACGTACAAGCTGCTAAGTGTTATAATGTGGCAAAATCTACACTTTTTGACAGAACAAAAGGATCATCTAATAATCGAGGAGCGCCAAGAAAGATGAGCAACATCACTAAAGCTATTATTGTTGATTTATTAAATTTATGAGTGATATAGGCTTCGGCTTGAATAGAAAAGACGTGTTTATTGTTGTTGAAAACTATTTAAAAGAATCAAACCAACGTAGTCTATTCAAAGACGGCAAACCGACTAGAAAATGGTACTCCGGTTTCATGAATAAATATCGTAAAGAAATTTGCCCAAAGAAAGTAAGCGGTATGCAAACTATTAGAGCTGAGGCCACACAACCAGCTATAATTGACAATTGGTTTGAGCAATTAGCAGTAGCATATAATGTACATAATTTAGGCGATAAGCCGTTTCAAATATTTAACTGTGATGAATCTGGTTTGCAATTTGATCAAGGCAAAGTCAAAATTATTTGTAGAAAAGGAACAAAAAACCCTAAAACGCTAGCACCATCGAATGAAAAGCAAATGACGACAATCTTGACTTGTTGTGACGCATTCGGTAATTATTTACCTCATCAAATAATTTATAAAGGCAAACATGTTATGAAAGACTGGTGCAAATGCGGTGCCCAGAATGTTTATTATAACAGTAGTAGTTCGGGCGGATGGAATCCGAAGATTTTTTGTCGTGGTTTGAAGCAGTTTTTTTGCCTCACGCAAACAAACTTTCAGGATTTAAAGTTCTAATACTTGACGGCCATGCTTCATATATGAGCTTAGAGATGAAAAAAAAGCTTTAGAAAATTATATTTTACTTTGGCGTTTGCCGGCTCATACCAGCCATTTTTTACAGCCTTAGATGTTGGCGTTTTTAAAACAGTAAAAGGCGCACGGAAGAGAATTGTCGAAAGTTATTTGACTAAAAATCACTTTCAAAGCCTGACTAATCGACATTTTCGGCTATGTTTAAGGATCTCATCGAAAATGGTGGGTTTAAACCTGAAAATGCATGGAGTGGTTTCAAAAATACTGGTATATTTCCACTCGATCGTTCGCAAATTTCTTCAAAAAAAACTTCCATTGGTGTTGTGTTTCAAGCTGTCGAAAACAACAATATTGAAAATTTATTTGATTCTTTAACAGTATCTAGTCCATTAGTTATGGGAAATATTACCAATACACCTAACACACCGTCAAGAATGTCAAATCGTGAATTTTTGCTTAAAAGCTTTGCTACTTTGAATAACGCTGTTCAACAAGTGGGCAAAGATATAAACAAATCAGTGTTAAATATGCTTCGAGATCAATTGACACCAACT